CTCGAACGAGCACATACTCCACAATACCCTCGGGCTGCCGGAGTGAGTGATCGGCCAGCTGTAAGCGCAACCGAGTAGGCTTCAAACCCCTAAGCTCGAGCTGCCGATAAATGGATAGTGGCATGAGGTTTATTCCGGCTCCTAGATCGAGCATCCCCAAAGCCTCTTTCTCATTTCCGAAAGCAATGTTGATCAGGAAGCCTCTGGGATCTATTTCTTTCTTCGGTAAGTGCTGCTAAAAAACACTCGCCGCCTTATAGATGATCACCTCCTTATCATTGTCGAACTGCTTCTTGCTCGTGGCCACTTTCTTTAAGAATTGTGCATGGGCCGGTATTTTCTTCAACACATCGGGAGGAGATAGGTCGACATTGGCCTTAGCCAACATCGCGTGGAGGTCCTGAATCATCGTGCGGTCCTTTTCCTCCAAAAGTCGGCCTGGGAAGGGGAATCTCGGTCTGTATGGGTTCGGGGATTTGTGTAAGGTAGGCTCGAGTGGTGGTGTCACTGGGCTTCTTCTAGTTTTTCATGGTCCCTCGGTCTTTCTTTTTCTTTTTCCTCCAAGTCAGGCATAATCACGATCACCGCATTCACATGCTCCGGCCGAATCGGCAACTTTTTCTTGTCTCTCTCGGCCTCGAGGACCCCGACCCATGTGGCTATTTGGCCTATTTGTGTCTCCATACGCTTAACGGCCGCCTCTTGGTTCGTCATAAACTGGAGGAACTGTTCCCACCGGTCGTTTGGTATCTCTTAAGGTTGTTGTTGTTGTTGAGGGTAGTTTGGTCTCATGTGTTGTTGGGGAGTGAAGTTGGGACGGTGCTATTGGGGCTGCTAGGTATTGTTGTTATTGGACCACGAGAAGTTAGGGTGTTTTCTCCATCCCAAGTTGTATGTGTTCGAGTACGGGTCGTTGGTTGGTCGGTTTTGGTATCCCTGTAAAGCATTCACATCTGTATAGTGTCCTCCAAAGCTCGGCTCGATAGCCGACGGGCATACATCAGAACTGTGTCCCTGAGCTCCACATGCGCCACACACACTCACGACCATGGTCTGAACGGGTGAACCTCCTCTGGCATTCATTAGCCGCATCAGCTCCGTGAGCTCGGCTATCTGATGAGCAATCATATCCCTTCTGGGAGCTATCTCATGTACCATCGCTTTCTTTCCTCGACTGCTCTTTTGAGACGAGTTAGCGCTCATCGTCTCAAAAATCTCCATCATCTCCTCGGCCGTCCTTGCCCCGATGTCTCCACCAGCCGCATTGTCCACTATGTACTGAAGGTTTTGGTGGAGGGATTCATAGAAGCTGTTCACCAATAAAGCGGGTGGGAAGTTGTAGTGTGAGCATTGCCTCTGGAGGTCTTTAAAGCGTTCCCATGCCTCATGAAGTGGCTCGTTCGGTTGTTGGGTGAAGGAGACAATTTACGACCGGAGTTCTTATGTCTTTTGGTGTGAATAGTACCTTCCGATGAATCTCGAATATACTTGCTCCCAAGTGGTGAGAGAGTCGGGAGCAAGTGTCATAAACCAAGCCTTAGCCCGGTCCTTGAGTGTCTTGGGAAAGCACCTCATTTTCAATTGGTTCTCTGTGAGATTTTGAAGTGGAAAGGTTTGGAGGACATTGTAGAACTCGCGAATGAAGTGGAGCGGGTCTTCGTTGGGGAGGCCGTGAAAGGATGGAAGTTGGTTGTAGTGGATGGTCTTGAGCTCGTAATTCCGAGCTGCCAGTCCCAAACGAATGCACGAAGTCACCGGCCCAATCACCGATTGGGCCAAATCCTGAAGATGAGACCGTGGGGGGTTGTTCACTTCCTCTCCCTCGTTTCGAGCCATACCGCTTTGGTTGTTCGAGTTTGATGATTTGTCGTTCGGAGTGAGTTCACGATCACTCCTAGTACGCATAAACTCAAACAAGAAACGAGTTACGAGCACCAATGATAGACGAAAGAGAGTAAACAACTAACACCAAAAAAAAAATAAAAAATTAACTAACTAACAAGAAGAACAAAATAAGAAACAAAGAGAAACACAAAAACAAAAAAAATCACAAGAATCAAGTGAAACACGAAAACAAATGAATAGATGCACAAAATAAATCCTAAACCTTCCCAGACAACGGCGCCATTTTGTTGTAGTTTATTTTACTGGAGTAGAATCGAAAGATTTGAACACCGGGTCGTGTCTCTCGAGGAAGGTTAGCCGGAATAAGTCGTACGTATATTCAATGACGAGAAAGGAAAATGATCCTAAACATTCTAATTCGATTATCAGGAATGGATTACCAAATACAAATTCTCAAATTAAGCGACCTAAATGTCACAACTTACAAATGCAATTCAACAAGATATAAAAGGGCTAGGGTATCGGGGATAATCGCTTCCGGTTCTACACACATTTATTGGTAATCAGTAACTCGGTTAATGGCTCGACTAATTAACTCATTTAGCGGTTTAACCTCATAGACAATACGTCTCCGAACATGTCTACTCTAAACGAGCCAAGTTCCGTCAATTTCTCCCCTCTCGGTTTTGAAATCGATTATTTCTGCGACTTCTCCCCTATCGGTTCTAAAAGTCGCAATTTGATTAGAAGGTGTTTAATCAACTAATCATGTAGAATTAATCAAACTTTAACTTAACAGATTAATATGCAATCACAAATCAAAGTGTCACTTCTTTGATTATATCAACAAATTAACCTAAGTGTCAGCCTTAGGTTATATCAATTTATCAAGCATGGTTTTATCAATTCCTCATTAAAACAATTCGTCAAGATTGAACTATTGTCATGCACATAAACGAGAACGAACCGGAATGATTATCCCCTAACCCTAGATAGAGGATTAGCTACTCATAATTGATTTAACACAAGCATTCACATTCAATAAAGCCATAATCATCATAAACTTAATGAAAATAGAACTTACTAGTAATGTGAATTCCAATGTCAAGAACAAAGCACAAGCCAAATCTAAGATGCAACAAGTCTCCAAGGTGCTCCTTCTTACAATATGAAAAACTAAAATAAAAACTTAAGAGAAAAAATGGAGATGAAGATGAAGGATGGTGAAGAGGATGGTGGACGGTAGTGAAAGATGATCCCCTCATGTAGAAGAATGGAAGACAATAAGTAGTAGCCTCTTCTCCAACACCACAACTGAATTTAAGGTGAAAATTCTGGTCCAAAGTTCGCCACTTTCGAGCATCATGAAGACAAGCCCGGATTTGAGGAAAAAAAAAAAAAAAACATGTTGTCTGTCAGGGAAGGTTAGCGCCGCTAACCCCCCTTAGCGCCACTAAAGTGTCGGGCTTAGCGACGCTAAGCACCCTTAGCGGCCGCTAATTCCTCATGTTGAAACTCTCTGGCGTCGCTAAGAATCCATTGCACCGTTAACATATCTACCTTAGCGGCGCTAAGGCCTGGGCAGCACGACTTTTCGTTTCAGGCTCGTTTGGGCTCGTTCGAACTCGGAATTGAGTTTCATTTTTTCCTATGCGTTGCCAACGAACCCTTCTATTCAATTATGCTCGCAAAACCAATATTTCCTGAAAAGAATATCTGCCCGAAGCTCCTGACCTACACACCAAAAGCTAGAAAACACACGGAGAATCGAAAAAACAAACGAAAAACACACAATGACTCAAAATGAAGAAAAACACATAATAGAACACAAAATGGACTAAGAATGAAAGAAATGACCTAAAACGGGGGAAAAAGAGAAGCAAAACAATAAGAAAAAATGCAACAAAAATGGGACAAACAGTCGTGAACCTAAAAGGGTCACACAATATTTTGAATGATGACATTTTAAAATTGGTATTTCCAATAGTTGGATTGATTCACAAAGACTTAATTAAATAATTTGATCATTTAATTAAATTTAATTTTGATTAGATGTCAATTAAAGGAATAGTAGAAATTAATCAGATGGATTGATTAATTGGGTTTTGGTGTTGATTAAGTAATTATCGAAATTAATAAATTAATAGTTGGATTTTAAAGTTGGACTTTAAAATTCAAATCCAAATATTAATATTATTAATAATTAAAATCCTACATAAAAGGGGAGATTTTATTTTATGGGAGATAAAGATTTGACCATTTAATTTTGAAAGTTAGTTTCATAATTTATGAGTCATTATTTTGAGTTAATCTTTAATTTAGATTAAGATTAAGATATAATATAAATAAAAAAAATTAATTAAAATAATATATAATAGAGGTGGCGGCCAAAGCGCCCTTGCTATATATAAATATATGCATGCATTTGATGCATGTGATTGTACCAATCATTACATACCATCTCCCAATTTCAATTCTGAGAACTAGTATATATATATACTAGTTGGGTTACGCCGTGCACGCACGGCGGACTCAGATTCAGTCTAAAAATACACTAAAAATTTGTCATCGTTGCAGGTCATATTTTGGTCAAATAATAGATTCATTAGACGAATGATGAAAATACCTTGAAGTTTTGTGAAAAAATTCAATAACCAAACATTTACAACTATTTTTAACACGAACGAATGAGTGCAGACAATTCTTATTCTTTTCATTTTGGTTCTTTTGCAATGCCAGCGGAAGAATTAATTTAGCCAAAATGGAAAAACACGGTCTACCTGGTCGCACAAATATTTAACTTTTTGCGCTTGTTGTTGAACATGAGCCGAAGCGACATGGTTGAAGGTAGACATCTCGACTATCTTTGTCTCCATCTCTTGAACTGCATCCAACATGTTTGAACTGTATCCAACATGTTTGACAGGTCCACGTAAAGGTTTCAAGTGTCGTATTAGTATTATTATTATTATTATTATTATTATTATTATTATTATTATTATTATTATTATTATTATTCCCAACCTGTTGGGAATATACTAGGTATGTTGTTGTTGTTGTATTATTATTATTATTAGGGTTTCGAGTGTCCATAATTCGAAGAAAATAAGGGTTTTGGACTCGAAAAATAACAACCTTTATCTATTTTCACTCCCTCATTTCAGATTGACCTCATCACTATCTTTTTCGGACTTTTTATTATTGCCTTTGCCCCTGAAACAGAAAAAGTAAACCGCAGACAAAATGAAAACTTATTGCCTGTGCTGGGAAAAGTTTCTAGCAAATGGATTTATTGGGTACTAAAAACAAAATGAAACTTACTGGCATGAGCAGTCATTAGATTCGTACTCATAAATGTATGACACCTATAGGAGAGTTTAAATCTCAAGATATGGCTTGTCACTAAATGAACCTTAGGCAGAAGGCTAAATTGATTCCTCAAATATCATGTAAAGTCTGACTACCGAATCACGGCAAAGGTTTGTGAATGACTTGGCAATGTCAGATAATGTTCATAGAATATTCCCAGTGGAGTTTTAATAAAGACACAATGTATCTTCAGCTATTGTGTGTGATCCAAGCATCAAACAGTCTTATATCTTACAGAAACCAACATCAATGCATAAATTTTTCACACCATTACCAGTTATGAATAATTAAGTTTATCGTGCTAAGAAAAAGTAATCTCATTTATCTACTATAAATAATTTGTCCTCTAATGAAATCAAACAAAATTTTCCTCTTATAATATAAAACCAAAATCTTTCCCCTAGTGGTTTGAAGGATAGGATTAAAATATTAAATAATTCACTCAACAACTTTTCAGGTTGTTCAATCCTTCAAACTTTTAAGAGCTGAGAAAAAACGAAGGTTGTGGACCAGCAATCTATGCTTTATAGCAGACTCTTATACTTTGATTTCTTAGTTCCAGCACCATCATCCTTAATTTTCTCATCACTAAATGCCCCAGGAGTTGGAAGTAGCTGATTTCTTACAACCTTTTAGAATAAACATACTTAAAGTAGTTGTGTAGATTAGCATAAGAAACGAAAAGAAATTTTTTTCCAATATAGTTGAACACTTCCAGATTCATAGTTGCACTCGCCCTCTCAACATTGAACTAAAATAGCGAAATAGGAGTTTTGCATAACTTTACCTCATAAGTATTTACGTAAAGCTTGGGAACCATCAAACCGAACTTAAAAGATGCAATGTCTTGCTGCTTTCCATCAGGGCCAATAGGGACGTCACCGAATACTGGTGCTCATTGCCTTGGAAGTTGAAATTACAAAAACTAATGAAGTTCTTCAATAGGTGGCTTATCTGCAAGTGGCAGAAAACATTTTGCACTCAATAAGAACTCTATTCAGCTTTCACTCTAATATAGATGTTTGTTGTGCACTCTAATTTTAAGTTCATCTACTAAAATCTGCTCTCAGATACATTCCAGATTGAATTCGGGAAACAACAATATTCGTAACTTATTCTTATGCATGGAATAGGACAGCAGAACAAGCATATCAAGACTTCATTATTTACTTGAGTTTTTGCAGCAATTAACTATAATGAAACTGTCGGGAAGCACTATATATATGTGTTAATTATATACAAGCATGGTCAGTGCACCAAATCAAACAACTCGTTGTCCATAGTTTTCCTCAATCACTAAACATACCCTAAGAAACAAATTATTTACAGCGCAAATATAGATTGATGGCATGACCCAAGAAACCACTCCCATCTATTCCGCTCAAGATTGATGAAATTGGAATGAAAGTCGTTGAGATTACTTCAGGCTCGGTCTGAACAGTTTGACACCACTTATATGAGGCATATTCCTATTGTTGCTTCCACCTCTCCTCCTAGAGAAGAAAGTAACTTCCTGGGATTTACATTAGTAATAAACACAATAATTAAGGTAATGTGACTCATACAGAACAATCAAATTCAGAGAATTATGGAATCAAATATAATACATTTATAATCATGATACGCAATGTTAAATGTTTCGTCACACTGAAATTGATTTGCAGAACTGTTACCTCTTGTCTAGAGTGGAAACTTGACCCGCTAGGATCTAATAGTCCAAATTCTTTCTCATTAGCTGCATCCTTAAAGAAGAAGAAGAAGAAGAAGAAGAAGTATTAGATGATGCTCTTTTTATTAATTTCTTGTAATCAGAATGAAAAGTGGGAAAAACAGGATACTGAGTGCCAAATTAATATGGATCATCTGTATCCTTAAGATGGCTAGAAGCACATTAATGGATTCACAAATTCATTTAAACTGGCAAGAAAATACAGAACACTATAGCTTGAAGGCCATAAGGACACTTACATTCTAGTTTCCCAATGTCTGGCGATAGCAGTCCACTCAAGCTGTGAATAGGGAGGCTCCTGCACCATTCAATATATCATCACACATAGGATTACGGTGTGCACATACATCAAGTTTCCATATAACTGAAGTGGACATCAACACATTTATAAAGGGGAGAAATAAGATAGTTAACTTCAAAGAAATGTAACAAAAAGAATTCTGGAAAATGTCAATTGGAAATTTTATGGTATGAAACAACGAATAGAAATAAAGCATGACTCCTCAAAATGCAAAAGAAAGCTATGAAAAAATTTCAAAAAACATTAACTTAGAGTATGTCGTCGAAATAACATCATTTAAAAAAGTTAATATATTTTAGTACCAGTAATATGTAGTTAAATGAGTGTGGAGCATCTAGTATGATTCTGTGATCGGAATACCTATATCAAGGACCAGGGTCGAGGATATAAATTGCCCTGAATCATCAGATGCAGCTTCTTTGAGATCAGGGATCTTATGAGAACAGATTGACAAATTAATGATCTAAAAGAAATAAGGAACTCTATTTTCTGGTGCCACTAAGGAAATTTAATCTTTCTGGTGAGTGGATAGGGATGACTCCAAGAGAAGAACACTATATTACTGCCCTGCCCTAGGTCACCAAAATAAACTCATATGAAGGTGCGATTATGAGCACAAACTGATAATATCTTTTCATTTTATGCCTAGATAAGGCATAATAAAGCCATTACTGCTGAAAAAAATCACTTCCCACTAAAACAAAACCTCAATATCCTCAAATCTCATACATCATCAATTACAACGCATCACACAAACAAAAAACATCAACACATCAGTTCTTCCATTGTCGTTCAAACTGTAGGTATACATTACCAAAGCCGCATCAGAATAAATCCCTAGCTAAAGTTTATCATAATCTATTGTCAAACTAAACAATAAAACTAACAAAAAATGACTGTAAATAAAAACATATATGAAACTCACCAGAAAATCTAATGAATGGAGAGAGATTCAGAACCTGCTCGTGAAATTGCTCAACGGAAAGCACCAGATTTTGACTTTTGCAGCCCATTTGAGCTCTGTCGCAACGCTAAAATTCAGAGATGCCACCTCCGTCCGTCCAAACCGCCGGCCCTAAATCAAAATGAAAACCAAGATCGATAAACATGAGACCGAAATTTCACAATAAAACACCCGTGTCGGAGAATTTTTCGGAGGATTCTGGTGCCGGATTTTTTCGACTCCATGGAGAATTGTGAAATTCTTGATTTCGGCCGGTGGTGGTGGCAGTGGCCGGGATGTGTGTCTTTGAGAACTTTTTGGTGAAAGTTGCGGTGAAATGACTGAATCTTTCACGATGAGTGTGGTCCGATCGGGTGAAGTGTCGTCTTTCTAAGGTGGCTGCGGTTGCGGCGGAAGGCTGAGTTGGTGGTGGTGGTTTGGGCCGCCTGGCATGAATCCATTTGGGAGAGAAAAGAGGGCAAAGGTTTGAAAATTGTGAAGAATGAATTGCTTTTAGGTTTCAGATTGGAGAGCAGAATATGGTCCTTCTTCCATCTCTTTCAGTTTCGGCGTAGCGTGCGAGGAAAATATGGGAACTTGCGTGAAAAGATAAACAAACCGTCAAAGAGTCAAGACATAGAAGATCTACGCACCGGATTTTTTTGGGAGGAAATCCCGCAAAAGTAAGGCTAGCAGGAAAGAAGAATGTAAATTAAGCATGCATCCCCTAAAAGCGAAATACACCGGGGCATTAAAGTCTAAAAACAACAAAATACTAAGAACATTAAATTGACACTATTGTCCCTCCAATTGTGTGTAAGGTATTGTATGGTAATTTTCAAAAAAAAGTTATTTAAGTAATTGTCTTAAAATTTGACACTTGACAAGCATGAACTTAGCCACTTGTCGCCATTTGCATGCCACTAACTTCTTCATATATATATAGTACTAGTTGTCTTACGCCGTGCACGCACGGCGAACTCAAATTTAGTCTAAAAATATATTGAAAATTTATCTATCACTTGTAATGAGCATTCGAATCCAGTGCCAATTTGTAGAAAATAAGCTTTGACCATAAAGGCTTCATTACACAACTTTTGTGACAGTTGTTGTAGCTCATATTTGGGCAGTTGTTGCAGTTGTTTACATATATTATGCCTGTTAAGTTGACATTATCTCAAGATCCTTTCTCATGTATTATTGCTATTATCCCATACTCATTTTCAAACAACTGTTAAATGTTACAGATTAAATACGCATATCCCAACCTACTATCTCTTCATTTACCCTAAAAAAAATTAGTTTGGAACACATTGCTACAAAATTTTGTATAAGCGTACAAGGTTTGTAATGCTTGGGAAATCGATATTTTTTCTTGATTTCTAGTCATTTTTGTTGTGTACCTCTCTCTCTCTCCCCCTCTCACTGTCTCTCTCTCTCTCTCTCTCAGTAGCAAACAAAAAGACCTCAACTTAGATTCAGTGTAGTAAATTGTTTAAAAAATAAATGTCATTTTTCGTTAACACAAAATTTATAAATATACTATTGCTCTATTAAACCGACTATAACATAAAATATATATATTTGCTACATTTTAAATTTTTTCATTTTTCAATAAAACTATAACAATGGCCATCTTCACATTCGACATTTCCTCAGCTTAAATTGCTTACAATTTGGCATAGAAAGAGAGTAAAAACATTAGACAATGTTTTTACTGTCGTAAACCTCTCGAGTTTGAAGTCAACACAACAACAGAAAACAGGCAAAACGAAAGGCACCACACAACCGGAAAGGATGATTAGGTCTTTTCCCTATCTCTTTACCATCAATCGGCTAAAGGTTCTGAAAGAAATTCGAATCATCAAATCAGTCAATAGATGACATTCTTAGTCATTCAATCGACCTAGACGTAGCACTTAAGCACAACTTCTGTAAACTTACTTTGTTGTAGCCCATTATTGCTCAGGGTAATTTTGCATTGCTTCTTCAGGCCATTAAGGTAATTTCAAAGGTGACAGCTGTTTTTTATTCTTCTTGCACACTACCTCCCACACACGCATCCCTTCGCACAATGAAAAAACAGATAGAGAAAGAGAACTTTTGAGCTATTATTGCCGTTGTTTTAGTCTATAATGGAACGCCAACAGATTTGGGAAATAATAAGGCGAAATGTGAATTTGAAAGCATTAGTTTGAATACAAAAACTTCACTTGTTCCAAAATTTAGAGAGATCAAACGGTCACGGTAAAAGACAAAGAACCTCTTAACAACTTCTGGAATAATAATAATATCCTCACGGACCTCAAGGTTTCAACATATTAACCATTATAAAGTTTATTGATTAGAAGCTATTTGTGCATTAATTAATCACCTTGAAGAGGACTCCAACCACAATTCAATGTTTCTCAGGGTGCGCAATGGTCTGCGAAAATCAAGAGTGAGTTCAGAAAGAAGCAGAGAACAACATGAGTGCTTCCATTGAGTTGTGTCCGTGGCCATTTCTCGTTCAAGAAAACACTCGAGGGATGCATGTCTACGACTTTCATGGACATAGAATCAAGTAAACACAAAAAAAATGAGAAAAAAAAATCTCTAAACCTGTAGAAATGGTAGAAACAAAAATTAAAATATGGATCCAAAAAATTATAAGGAAAATGGAACTTGACAATTCCCAAAATTTACAAGCAATCGTATTAGAATCCAGCATAGCAAAATATTGGCAAATATAGAAGCAACAGAAGTATTTCAAGATCTAAAGAGGGGACCTTTTATGANAAAAATCAAGAGAGTAAATGGATGACATCTTGTTGGAATTGTCTGGATGGAGGGATGAGCCATATATGCATTCAAGCACCACTCAAGGCAGATTTTCCAACAAACTCCCCACCCCAACCCTCTATTTGCTACCCATTTACTACAAGAACTTCTATTAGTGCATAAGAAAGGCCATGTGAGCCTATCATACGTTTGATAAGAAAAAGTTCTTTTTTCTTTCTTCTTATTTTCTCTAGAAAACAAAAAAACGAAAAAACAAAAATGAAAATGAAAAAAGAGGGAAAGTAGACTCACTTGGGTAAATCAGGATCATCAAATTCATCCCACTGTTTTCTTTTCCATTCTGCCATTCTTTCTTTCCAGGAAACAGTGCCATAACCATACACTGTTAAATCCTTCTTGGGATCCATAGGCCATGGAGGTACTGCAAATACATTACAATCTCATGAATCAAACTCTCAATCAAGAAAATCAATTAACAAGAAAAGATAAAAAAAAAATCAACAATAATAACATACTCACAGGCCATGGATGAATCCATATATGGCACGGGGTGCACTCGTTTTCCACGACCCGCGAGAGGGATAATGAGAGCATGCTTATCAGCTGAAATAGTATCATCATTTATACAAAAAAACTCAAATATCCCTTAGCAGCTATTGAGAGGAATCGATCCTTTGATCATTAACATTTTCAATAATCAAATCTTTCTTCCAAAAACAAGAAAAAATCTACCTCCTGGCCATAAGTAAGAAGAGGAATCTCAGGGTATAGGATTCAACTCCGACTGATTCGTGATACCGGAAGCCGTATGTCCCATCAACTGGAATAACCAGCTTTGAAGAATTAATGGGGATCTCTATTCTGGTTACCATTGCCGTAATCGAACTCATATTCAAGATCGTAAAACTCATCCTCGTCTTTATCCTCGTCCACCCCAGGCTGCCCTTGATGCACTTGTACCTGGTCTTGCCCTGTGGGTAGGCATGATTCCCTTCCCGCCTCTCGTACTCGTAGCAAGGCCTGCAGACCGAGAAAGCGCAGTCATTGCAGGCCTCAAATGGCTCGCCGTCCACCATGAACTCGATCTCGTCCCCACAAATCTGGCAAATCTGGCTCGTTAATTCTTGGCCGAAGTCACCTTCCCACAGAGAAAATTGATTAATTGCTTAATCGGTTGTCATGAGATAGACCCAGATTAAGAAATTAACAAATCTCCATTCCAACTCACTCTCGCAGATTCAAAAGCTTTGTTTCTTGATAAAAAAAGCCCTTAATTCAGTGAGGTAAAAGAGAAATTACACGAATGGCGCTGAAATCTAGAAAAAGGTTGAAAAGGGGAGCTTAGAGAAACTAAATCTGGAAAAAAAAAATATAAGCAGCAACAACAATTAAATTTTTCTCTTCTTCTTAAGAAAGAGAACTACCAATCTGAGACTGAAAATCTCGACACCAAAATGAAGCAGCGCCTTAGTAAAATCAACGAAAAATCAGAAATTTTTTACCAAAACAACACTAACAATTGCAACCAAAGCATTGATCTGCGTTTTTTTTTTTTGCCAAAGAAGTACAGTTGTCTCCATGAATCATACTCCCAATCAAGAAAATCAATTAACAAGAAAAGAAAAGAAATAATCAATAATAACACACTCACAGTTATGGATGAATCCGTATACGGCACCGGGTGCACTCGTTTCACGACCCGCGAAAAGAGGGATAATAAGAGCATGCTTATCGGCTGAAATAGTATCATCCTGCATACAAAAAACTCAAAATATCATTAACATTCTCAGGAGGAACTTGAAATGAGCGGTCATCAGAATTGGAATCCTTATCACCCCTTGAAGAAGAGCTAGGGCTTTGTGAGAGCTCGATCAGAGTTACGCGAATTTGCTTCGTAAAGTCTTTCACGATAAGAAGGGAGGCGGCATCCATTGGGTGGTCAGAGAGGGGTTTGACGGTGTCAACGGTAGCGTGGCTGAAGAGCTAGCTGCGGATGTTGCCGGCAGTGGATGAGGGAGGCTAGGGTGGCGCCAGAGAAAAGGATATTGTCGAGCGCCAAATTTTTCCCTCTGGCAAAGAAGCACTCCTCTCATCATGCAGTCTTCAGTCATGGGCTTTTATGTGGTCAAAAATGAGGGGTGGGTAAATGAAAAGACTGTCTGCTTTGCGTGTGTGCGAGAATTCTGCTAAAAGGAAAAGAGAGCTGTCTTGACCGCGGGAATTCTGGCAAGAAATTATTTGTAATTAAGGTACACCGTTTAAGTGTCTCTGATTTAAAAAAAAAATAAAAAAAAATAAAAAAAAAAAGACATACAAAGTGCATAGTGCAGTGGCAAATATTGTAAAAAAAGAGGACACTTGTCAAATTTTGAAGAGCACAAAAATGTACACTTGTCAACCATATAAGAGGCCTAACTCCTTCATATATAGATAAGAGAGATATAGTAGAGATATATATATATAGAGGATGGATCCAATGAGACCACTCCTTAAAATGAGTACGTGAGACTCAATCTTAGCCACTCATTTTGTCTAGATCAAAATTAATTAAAATATACATTAGTTAAATAATAAAATAATTATTAGTTGACTCCGGCGTTGACCGTTGACTGTTGACTTCCAGCGTTGACCGTTGACTTCCGGCGTTGACCCGTTGCGTTGAAATAAATAACCTAGCAACAAAAGACACTCAACCTTGAGTGGTGTAGTGGCTGCATTGCTTGTCTTGCTTCCATGAGGTACCAGGTTCAAATCCTATGTGTTACAATTTTTTTATAAAACAAAAAATACAACTAACTTAGCAGCATCAGACAACTAATCTAGCAACAAAACACAACTAACCTAGCAACAAAAAGAACAACAAAACACAACTAACTTAGAAGCATCAGACAACTAACCTAGCAACAAAACACAACTAACCTAGCAACAAAAGACAACTAACCTAGCAGCAAGAAAGAAAAGAAGTCCACAAATGCTCCAACTTCTCTCTACATTTCTCTCTCTAGAACCTACCCTCAGCCACTCCAGCCTCTCCCTCCGCCGTAATCACATCCGCCCAGCCCTGACTGCCACCTTCGCCTACTCGTCTCCTAAGGCCGCCGCCTCCGGCGGCCACCCCGGCCCCTCTGTCGGCCATTCCTTTTCCCATTTCCTTTTTTGTTTCTAGGCCGCTAATGGCTCCTCCAAACCTTCCACTTCCGACTCTCCCGAAACCTCAACCACAACATATGGCCAACATCTCGCCGGAAATCCTAAGCCTTTTTAATCTCCCAGAATTTCAACAACCTATTGAGATTTTTTTGGTCAAAAACTATCAGACGGAAGAAGGTGACATTGCTCATCCCCTCACCAAAAAACCAGTGGTCCCGTCGCCGGAATCTTAAATCTAGTAATAGAAAATCGACGGGCCATTGCGTTTGGGACTCTACCGTCGGCTATGCTCCCGTCGGTCACTCCAGATTCAAATAATGACGACAAAACTGCAGAGAACCAAAACCCTCAGCTCAACGAGGACGGCTCCCCAATCCAGGCCGCTCACGTGGCCAAGCAAAACCCCTCCACATCTGAGCCCACTCTCAGGCCCAAGAACGCCTCTCAACCTGGCCCGTCTCACTCTGGGCCTACTTCAACTACTCATCTACCGCAGCCCACTCAATACAGCCCGTCTTTGGGCCTCCCAATTTTCGGCCCAAATCACCCTCGGCCCACCCCCCCCCCTTGGACCAAATTGCTGGGCCTAACATTTCTCACATCTCTAAGGCCACAAGATCTCAGCCTCAACCTCAGGACAACAACCCATCCCTGCTCGCCAATTCCATTAGCCCGACTGAGGTCGACATCTGCCAACGGTCCGTCGGCATCCAACCAGCGGAGGCCGTCCGCCTTCCCTGCGCCAGCGCCGGCATCGGAGACACAACGGTCGCATCAAAGGCCGTCGCCATCCAGCTCGCCTTCCCTCCACCATCCCAGCCTACCACCACTCAAAATCTGACCAAACCCGAGTCCTGCGAACCTCAACCGGTGGTCACCGGACATCCCCACACCGGCACTGGCGCAACCATAGCGACCGGAAAATCACAATCACAACCCGCCAGATCCCTCGCTAAGAATGATCCGTTATCAAAAGGAATCCTTGGCCCCTGGCCAAATTCACCTTCAATGAACGATCAACCCGCCGGCATAGCCACCTCTGCTGCCGGAGGCTCGAAACCGAACATCTTATATGTGGGTGAAAATGGGGTGATGGCTGCGGGGCCAAGCAAGACGGCCGCGACCCAATTTTCTGGACCTTCACCGAATGGGACACCACCGACGGGTACCTCCAAGGCCAACCCCACTGCAGCCGGGCCCCCTCCGACCACCTCCACGCGCCCGCTTTCCTTTCGAGAAGCCATCACGGGGAAGAAAAATGGCGACACAGGCGCCCCTAGCCCGTCACCAAAGGATTTTACCTTCGACGGGAATTACGAGCATGCTTGCGGGACCATTATCCGCTCGGAGGAGAACAAAGTCAAGGCCCGATTCACCGACGCCGAATCTGTCGCTCTCGCAGGTAAACTAGCGAACACCCTGATCTTTAAGTTTTCATATGCTATCCCTGCTCCTCGAGATATATCTGCTGGTTTAGGCAAATTGGGTTTTAAGGGTAGAGTATCATCTAAGTGGTACAATTTCAACCACCTTCTAGTGTCTTTCCACCTCCCCGAGGACTACAACGAGGTCTGGCTTAAGACCTCGATTCATTTGTGTGGATGCCCAGCTAGGGTATTCAAATACTATGTCGGGTTTAACCCGAAGACGGAGGCGCCGGTGGTCCCCGTGTGGTGCCGCCTTCCCGGCCTTCCACCCCATCTGTACGATCGTGCTGCCATCACTACACTTGCTAAGTGTATTGGGCAGTCGATTCGTATCGACGCCCCGACGGCCCTTCAGACAAGGGCTAATTGGCGCGATTTTGCGTCGAGATAGATCTGAGAGCTAAGCTTGTTCATGAGATTGAGATTGAACAGGGCTCGGAGTCTCTTGTTCAGCGGGTGATCTATGAGAAGATCCCCGCGTTCTGCACCTCGTGCAGCCATGTGGGTCATGTTGCAGCCGATTGCTACATCAGTGGCAATAAGCCACGACCCGCTCTCCCGCAGCGCCATCGCGCGAACCAGCGGGGGCCCTCCACCAGCCGGAGGGACTCGAAGGGAAAGAGAAAAAGCCCCGTCCGCGTGCCCGAGACCCCGAAGGGGTCTAAGGATAAGGGCAAGGCTGTGATTGTCGATACTGCTCAAACTGGGAAGGATACTCATCCTGACCAGCCTAAGCAGTTGGCCTTAGTTGGACCCAAGCCCATGTCCACGGGCTTTCTTCCTAGACAGACCTTACAGATGGCCTTCAAGGCCAACCACTCATATTTCGCTATCCTCTCGCCAGAGGCAGAGAAGGAGGCTGTACGTTCCTCCAGCAGGTCACATAAGATTACCGATCTTACGCTTCTGGATGACGATGACCTCCTTGGAGATGACATGGACCAGCCGGACGCCACGACCAAAGGAGAGTCCATCCACCTCTCCGATGATAGTGCGTGCGATGCCGGTCCTATGACAGTGCACGCATCTAGCCCGGTCTGATACTCGGATTTGAGGGCTACTGCCGCCACCGCTCCCCCGAAAGGGGATGAGTTGGCCCATCCTACCCCCGCTGAGATTGGGACCTCGGTCGATCTTATAGCCAGTTCCCAGCCACCCCCTAGCGGCGAGCACCCGAGTGCTCTATCCACTGGACTCCCGCTTTCACCCATCCCCGAGCAGATATGCGGGCTTTACCGCGCGCAGCATGATGTCTCGTGCGAGAGCTTCGCCTTTAGTGCTTTTCTTCACCTTGACAGACCGGCGACAGCCCCGGAGATGGGGCAAACCGATAGTGCTGCTATAGGTCAGTCTGCCCAACCAGACGACTCACAAGCCACGAGCACATACCGAGGCAGACAGACCACGAGGTCTAGAGCCACGCAGCGGACGAGACGGCGGGCGATCTCTCCTGCTATTGGAGCCTTCCGCCGCACGACACGACGGACGATCCCCCCTTCTTTAGGTGGCCCGTATCAGCCTCGCCATAGGCGGACTACGTCCGGTGGCTCTTGCGACCGTTGATCTGTCCATCACATCCATTACTTGGAATGGCCGTGGCCTGGCGAACAGGGCTACTCTCTCTCACCTTCATTCTCTCATTCGTGACCACAGAGTCGATTTTGTTGGTTTTATTGAGCCGATGATTCGAACTCCTTCCTTTGACCATTACTCGCGTCGCCTGGGATTCCACTCGGGCGTGGGTAATATGTCGCACAAGATCTTGTTTTTCCACTCGCGTGACTACACTTGTCGGGTCCTCCGCGACACTGATCAGGTGCTTCACGTAGAGATTTCCGCTGACCACCTCCCGGAGCCCATCTTTCACACCTTGGTTTATGCCAAGTGTACTAGGGTCGGGCGATATGACCTTTGGGACACCCTGCGTGAGATTGCTGAGAGTATGGAGGGATTGCCATGGATGGTTAGTGGCGATTTCAACATCTTTCTGCACCCCGATGAGCGTGTGGGTGGCCGCATGGACAGGTCACGGGAGATGTGGGATTTCGCTCAGGCGGTGGCGGACTGCGAGTTAATTGACGCTGGATGTGATGGTGAGCCCTTCACGTGGGTGAGGGACGAACTCAAAGAGAGGTTAGACCGTGCCTTAGTTTCTGAGGCGTGGTCGAAGGTGTTTGCGGTTACGACCGTCACACACCTTACTCGATTTGGGTCCGACCATTCAACCCTTCTCATCCGGTGCCGATTTTCAAACACCCGCCGCCGCTCTTCGTTTAGGTTCCAAAACATGTGGGTTCGCCACCACTCCTTCCACGACACTGTCAGGGATTCCTGGCTTCAGCCGACTGGGCTCTT